TTCCTCCACCTGTATTCCACCTGTCCTTGCTAGTGGAGGACAGTCTTGATGTCGAATCTGTGCTGTCAGAAGGCCTGCACCACGTGTCGGTGATGGGGAAGAAGAAATAGCCCGTGATGATCTCCATCTCACTGTTACATTTCAGTGCTATGCCCACTGTGCGAAACTCCTCGATTTCCTCTTCCTCCTCGCTACGTCCCCCTCTCCCACCATTATCAACTCTTGATAATGCTTCCACTCTCGCTTCTCCTGGTGTATCAGCTCCAGATTTGGCTTCAGCTCCCCCAGTTCTTTCCTAGTGAAATAAGAAGGGATAAGTGAATGTTGGATTTTGCAAAAAGCAGGTGAAAATGAAGAGTGAGACGTCAATGTTCTCAGTCAACCTTACCAGTCCGAATGTTTGGTTGGCCACGCATTCGTAGAAGGCAAATAAAAACTCATGACTCCTTCCTTCTCTCTGTTACGGCGTGGTACCGTTCCTATAGTAAATAACTCCTCCAGTTCCTTTTTTGCATCACCTCCTCCCTCTCTGCCTCCTTCAACCTCTCCTGATGCTGCATCCTCTGATCCTCCACCTCCACCTACTTAGCAGTCAGCCTTCGTGTCAACTCCGTGTGGATGCTGACCTTGAGCCTTTTATAAATTCTCGGTACTCCCATGTTGTAGCAATCTTTAAAAGTGCATGGAATAATCAGAAGTGGGCATTTGAAGTGGTCTTTCAATGAATGCATTGTGTGTTGGAGTCCACTAGTGCACTGCTCCTGATAGTCATTCGCTGTGCTTTCGATGACAGCACCTACCTTATAGAGAAACGCAATTCACTCTTCAATCAATCACATTTATTTTCTAATTCTTATATTGATGAAGTAAATTGTAAGATCGTTGAATTCATATTTCCATTTTGGTAGAAAGTTTGATGGCAGGTGTTGCGGAACCTCGAACTCGAAGATTTCCTCGGTAATTTAATGGGTTTCTTTTATTCGACGTTTGTTGGATGATGTGGTGTTCTTATAGCTGTCTACGAGCATGCAAGCTGCTTACTTCGTCGCCTTACCTCATAGCAATTGTCGGTGTTGGCGTAAGTTTTGCGGACGTGTGAGTTTTGAGATCCATCAGATTATATTTGAGTGCCACTAAAGGTGCCACATCGAATTGCCTGCTTGTGTACAGTGATTGTTTTGCTATAACGCCTACTGTGGATCCCAAACACTTCACTAAGCAACTAAGGCGGAGCTTCCATTTATACTATTAGAAGTGGAAACTATGGGAAAATAGGGGTGAGTGGCCTATTATTGAGTTGGTAGTATGTCACCCAACGGTGTGACTGTCAATTGTCGGAAATACCCACGTTGGAAGCAATCACCGGCCCAAATATCAACAACTCGGCATTTGTCTCCTCCTCCTCCTTCCGCCCCCCCCCCCCCCACTCCCTTGAAATAAACAGACTGACTAGTTGAGGGCATTTGCGTTGGTACTATGCATAGAGCAGGCAACAAAGGTCGAAT